GGGTGGTCTGTATTTTTGGTCTTACCATAGAGGAAGAGCATTGGGTATGTTCAGCTGGCTTTAAAGAAAGGCAGACAGAAATAAGCTGTAATAAGTCTCCAATCAAGAGCCCTAGTAAACTAGGTCTTGGCTAACACAGGAGCAACAAAATGGCAGAAGAGGGCAAAAAGGAGTTTGAAAGAAATGCACAAGAGGCTGGGCTTATTCCCTAGGATGCCCGGGATCAAAGCTGGCCATGGCAGAAGTAGGTACAACTCCCATTTATTTTTATATAAGCTGCATCCACTACCACCATGCATGAATTGCACCCAGTGTCTCCAAAGTGCTAGACATCCTGGCATCCAGGCAGTGGAGGTACTGATACTGTTAAAATGTTTCTTGTGTCACTACTATCAAGTTCAACACAGGGGCTGATTTAACTCCCCAGCTCAGATGCAGGCCATGTCTGCACAGGGAACAGCCAGCTTCTAGTGCATTAGTCTGATTTGTAAACCTGTAACAGCCCAGAGCTAAAGAAACACTTTCTAATTCACTTGCACATAGTTCTGGGTGGTAAGTTGTTACTAAGACAAGGAGTTGGGACAGTCTGATCAGCCCTTGGCAACCCTACAACACCCGCTGCCAGCTGTGGAGAGTGGGCTGGTAAAGCTAGTTAGCTTGCTGTACCTTCACCCACCTCACAGCGAAACTCCAGGGACACAATGGACATGTCCTTGGAGACACAGCTGAGCTGAGCCCTCGTTGTGCCTGGAAGAGTCTAGCTGCTGCAAACACTCTGCCTGACATTCCTTGATTAACATCTGGGGCCATTTCCAATACTGAGAGCAATTCTAAAAACCACCCAAGGTTTCAAATACCCCTAGGTGTAAGAATTAAAATTGAAAATGAAACAAAATCAGCTTTATTGGGAGTCCTTCAGTTCAATAGTAGCATAATCCTTCAGGCCTAACCTCTATCACGTGCCCCATATGCCAGACTCGTCTCATTATTTCCTGTGACTACATTATCTAAGCTGAAACTGATGTATTTCTTCTTCTGCCAATGGCAGCATTCACCTCTAGTGCTATGGAGGTCTCCTGCAGTGTGCTCTTGCTCTCTAAGGACACTGCAGTAACCAAACTGACATTGTATTATCGAAATAAAAACTGTAGTTTGGATGCATAGCCTACTTCATAATATAGGCAAATGAAAACAATTAAAAGCCCAAGGTACACCTAATAATATAATACTATTTTGAGTTAAGTCATTGGTTTGGTGTCAGCTTTTGTTACTTTTATCATCCTCTTTCACGTGTTCGCTCATGTGTTTTCTTTTCAGATCACATTCAGGCAAAAGCTGGCTTGAATATCAAATAAAGGAGCGGTGCCCATAGAGACATTCTTTACAGACCAAGCACAGATTTTGATTTTGTGTTGCTTGCCAAATATCTCCTTTCCAGCAAGGAGTTTATCTGTCCCATCCCCCTTCCTCTTTCTAGTTTCGCAAATCATCTTTTCTAACATTTGAAGGGCTCCTATTCTGCTAGTTGCTGCATTCCTGGTAGAAGGGACAAAGCCCCTTCAAATTAACTGAAGGAAGCCCAAAAATGTGCAGCACCTTTCAGGATTCTTCTTCCTTCCTAGTTGACAGGGTTGGTGCATCTGTGACTGACTGGCTAAAGAAGCCTTGTAAGTTACTGTGGAATATTATACCTTAATTGTGATTTTGATATTGTTAGTATTTTGTCAGGAAGTGCTGGTAATAGTAATGTAACAGAGTAAAAAACCCGTGTAAGAGGATATGACTATATGAGGCACCACTGATACACGATGGCCAACTTGGAAGAGTTGGCGTCACATTGAAAAAACAGAAACCAAAGTGTCTGAATATCTTTGGCACTGCTAAGGAAGTAAAGTAGAGGTTGACTTACTCCTCTCTTATTCCCTGATCTGACTGGTCTCTGTTTTAAGATAAGGTCAAATATGTAGCAAATTATATCACTACCTACAGTAAAGTCTCAAAGGCTGGACAGGAAAGTTTCTGTTAATGCTGGCAGGTAGTTATTTGGACAAACTGTAGGACTGTGGGCTGAGATTTTTGAATATGCTTGTGCATATAGTATTTTGTGTATGAGTATATGAGGGGAAAATCAACTCCCAGCTTTGGGTTGCTAAATACATTTTCTGATATCCACAGAAGTTTTGGAGAGGAGCCAAATCCTACCATTTTCTACCTGTCCCAAAAAGTCACCATGTGGACCTGAGCATGGATATCTGAGAACCCGTTGCTGGGACTTTCAAGTATGGCCACTCCTAACTATAGCACCAAGAGAGCTATTGCTAGATTTCCTGAGAATCTTCCACCTTGCAAGTGATGTAGGTATGCCTATTTTAGGACAAGGACAGCCACCTGACACCTGAGAACATAGCAGTCCAGTGCCTAATGCCCATCTGAAGTGGGCAGGATTTAATTTCTATAAATTTCAGAGCAAATCCTCTTCTGTTTAATATCTCTGAAAGAGCTTTTGGAGAAGCTGTACCACTTCGCAGAAGGCAGCCTTGATTTTGCTCTGTTTTACTCACAGCCATCTCTTCTCCTGCACGTGGTCTAACCTGCAAAGGAACTTCTAGTATTCTATCTGGCTCTTGTCATCATTTGGGGCACAAGTATCATGCAAACAACTGAATGAGAAAGGGCAACAATAATAGTGAGATCACCCAAGAAATGATGCTCTGTGCAATTTCCATCATAGAGAGAAGGGACCTCAAGTATAAATCACAAACAAGTCCAGGGGCATATTAAGAGTGATGTAGAAGGGAACTTGTAGGCTAAGAGTGGGAAGAGAAATATCAGAGGCAGGATGCATCTGTGTGAAGACACTCAATGGGGATGAGTGCAATAAAACTGCTTGGGACTTTTTCTGACTTTTTTTTTTTTTCCCCCTCTTCATGTCACCATATTTAAAAAAATAATAGAGATGCTAAGGAGCAGAAAAGCAGATTCTAGATGCCAAAGTAAAGATTCAGTAGAATAAAGACTGAGAGATCCCTGAAGCATGTGTGAAAAGCTCCTCAGAATATTGTTGCCTGCATATATCTCACTTTAACTATGCTCAGTGCCTACCAGATCACCAACATTTTAAACAGATGCATCGCTCAAGCTGCTGCTAACCTGTGTGCATCCTTAAACCTCCTACAGGCACAAAAGTGAAAGGCACAGTTTATGCCCGTCATGAATTCGGGATCCCAGGGAAGGAAGTCTCTGAAGAGAAGACAGGTTTATTCAATGGAGAGATACTTAAAACCTCAGAGACCACAGCACCGAGGAAGGTAACTGATAGTACTGTGTTCCTGCTAACCATGCCCCACCTCAGCATGAGGGAGGAAGGCTTACTGGTGGCTATTTGCAAAGAATGTACCACATCTAGATGGGTTCAGAGTCTCCTGAACCACCATACTGACTCACAAATCAAACTTGGTGTCTGATCTTGCCATCAAGTCAAGGAAACCACTTTTAACAGGTTGTGTTTATGGGCTTACAAATTCTGATCACAGCACAAATGCTTTGGAAGCTAGGAGAAGATAAAATTTGCACTCCAGGAGAACCAATCAATTTTTTCAAGGGCAATACCCAACAGTCAATACTGTATGATATTTATGATATAATGTAGTCCACTTGGAAATTCTGAGAAGGGATGATTTGTCTTGATTTGGCTTTTCAGAGCTGTAAAGACAGGAACGAAAGTATGAGCAAAAAGACTAAAAATTTTATACTGTCACAGTAGTATTAAAGTCCCCTAAAGTATCTATGGTGTTGAATATCCTCTGCATGGATTAAGATTTTGAAGAAAATAATAAGGTGTGTTAATAAAGAGATTCAGATGAGAGTTTCAGTAGGAAAAGCCTGAGAAGAGATACCAATCCCATCTCATTTCTGTGGAACACTGGAGATGGAGGACCATGTTGAGAGGTTGGAGTTCCTTGTGGTTTTTGGCTAGTTTGCTGACAACTATAATGGTCATCCAGAGAAGCAGCACCTAGAAATGCCTGAAGGGGAGATCCATTAGTTTTGTACAGCATCTATTTACTCAATAAATCCAAGGAGGCTCCTTGATTGCCAGGTAAGTATGTTTCAGTAGTTGTAGAAGCCTGACTGCCACTGAGATGACAGTACAGGCAGGTGGCATTCCCATTACCAGCACTGTTGATGGTAGTAATTTTTTTATACCACAGGACACACTGAAGATGATGACTTAAATTCCTTCAGAAGATCCAGTCTTTGCTAGGAAGTCCAAACTGATTTTTTTCCTGACATTTGAGGAGTAAAACTTCCTTGCTGATAGCGTGTATGTGGTTGGTTTTTTTTTTTTTTTTTTTCATTTCTAACAAGGCTTCTTCCATTTGTAGGAAGGAATATCTTTTCACAACACAAAATTCAACCTATATTGTGGAGAACTTCGGCCTGGCTTTATCTGTGTAACATTTAAGAAGCTGAATGCACAGTGTTATTGTTTCTCTGTTAGTCAGTGTTGTCTCAGTCAATGCAGTGATACTTCCTTCTAATGGCAGCCTTCTAATTTTACCTGGTGCTCATAGTTTGAACAGATGAGAGCAAAACTGGGTTTGAGACTTTGACACTATGATATGACAGTGTCTTCATATTTCTCAAGAAAACAAATGGTCAGATGCTTATGTTGCCTTTTGTGACTAACAATGTATAACGACATTTCTCCCCTGAGGAAAACACGGCTTGTAGATGAAGCTCTTAGGAAACCACTTGCAGTAGTTGGCTGTTGGTGATGGATGTCTGTTAAGATGTTTCCTTCATTGCTCTTGACATCTGGAGAAAGAAGTTACCCATGAAGGTGTTGTATCCGTTGGAAACTGGTCCACTGGTCTGTTAGCCTGCTCCCATGAGGAAGGTGGTGATAGACTTTCACTTCTTGCTTTTTTTCTACTCAATGCAGGAAGTGTGCCCCCAAAAATCTGCACTGTAGTTTCCTTGAGCGAGTTGCAGTGCTGTTTAACTCCTTTGCTGTTCTAGGATATTGGCGTTTTCTATCTCAAGTTCTTTGTATCT